GTTATATTTTTGGCAAACTACAATCAGTAGTTTTAATCCCATATATGTATCATGTTTGATGAAGAACAAATGTGAGCAGTAGCAAAGCTTGTTTATTTTCTGCTTCTGCAAGTGTCTTCAGAATTGAAAGTCCCGTTGTTGTTATTGTTGGTAGTTTGTATCATTGTTTCGAAGTGTCAATTCTTTGTAATATTTGGTTTATGTTTGCTTGTTTGTTCAGAGATTTGCACCTGTAAATTGTACGGTAAGTAATGGTTATGAAGCACAAGATTCATAATAGTTGAAAAAACAAAATCCACAGATGGAATGATAATACCATTACCTTATGATTAAGCAATTAAGAATAAATAAGTGTGCCAAATATGACTCACTTAAATATGGATCCTAAAATGCATTTTGTTTTTTGTTTATTAGAAAATTATTAACAACTAAAGATGCACATGGTTCGGCAAAGTCATTTGTATGGCTAACCATTATTATTATAAGATTGCTACGGAACAAAGTACTATCTTATTGCTATTAATTGTATATTTAACCATTTTGTATAATATCATTTTTTGTATGACTAAGAAAATAACGAAATCAATAGATTAATGAAATACGATGGTTCTAGTAAAACTTATGTTAACCGTATTGCTTGTAAAGCGGTGTGATCTTTGTCGGTTGCTTTTACAATGATTCGTTGTAGAATTTCTGATGGTAATTGTAAAAGACCTATGGGTTATTTTTTTGTTAATTTGAAAGGAATCATGATGTCTTGGTGTTGTTTTTTGGATGCAAGTATATGGAAATTATGTTGTCGATATGGTATCTGTGGTTTATATAGTTCACGTGTGGGTAGCAAACAATTTTTTTTTTTTCTTTGGTATTTCAACTGCTTAGATAATGTTCTGTTTATTATTAATAGGAGTCAGCGTTGTTATCTGAATCTAGTTTTTATTAGTTTTGTAAATTAATGATGGTTGTATTAATCATTTAATGTCAAATATTACTTATATTTAAATGTAAACGGTCCGCATTCATGTTAATTTTTATATACGTATATTAAACATTTGAGATATTTGATTAGTACGCGCACGACACAACACAAGATATCATCAAAATATCAATCACATCAATCAAAAAGTATAATGAGAAGGGTATTGATTTTATTGATAGATGTGTTTTGTTTAATTAGAAATACAAAAGAAATAGATGGAATATGAATAAAGATGTTATAATAAATAAACATGATTGTTTAAGAAGAATAAGATCTAACTAGCATGAGTTTAATAGAAAGGATAAGAAGAATAAATTGAAAAAATAACATCGATTGTACGATTAGACCACATAATATTCAGGTAGTCTTCTCAACTTGCATAGTGATTTAAGTTCGCATCACTTTAATGTTATGTAAATTATTTATTTAAAATTTAAAAGTATTTATTTGTTTTTTGAGAATACAAAAGGTGCTTTGGGAAAACCAATAAATGTCTAGTAATAAGTAAACATATTGATTGAAAAAAACGTTAATAACTTTTTGGATAAGATGATACGAAATGGTAGTAAACGTAATAAATATTTTGTTAAGTATTCAAGTAAGAAACGTCATGATGATAATATAATATATTGCTTGGGTTGTGAATAATGGTTCGGCAACCGCAGTCCAAATGGATGTTATCATTCGGTGTAGGATTTTATTTGGTTGATAAACAAAAATGATTTATCTTAACTTGTTACTTGAGGTTGTAAACAAATTTACTCAAACAGAATAAAGTAATTAAATTAAGAGATGATAATTGTTGGATTCACTACAAGAAAACTGGCATTCTGCGTCTAGCAAAATTAGACGCAGAAAGTCACATTTAGACGCTAAGCCATTTTTAGCGTCTAAATTTGGTTGTCGCCCCCTTAGTTGCAGTAGGCTGGTCGCGGATTCATAGTGCGTCTATATTGTGGTTTAGACGCAAAAAGTTTTTTTTTACGACTAGCAAAATAGTTGGTAAATGCTGGTCAAAATAGTCCCCCAACTTAGCGCNATTTTAACCTCTCACTGGTAGAAGTGTACCCTTCGTTTTGGAGAACAAGGTTTCGACGAACAGTGGTTTGATTAAAACCATGGTGATGGAAGGCTTACGTGACTGAATATACTTTAATTGAGGGTTTGTTATTTAATGTCTCATCAGATTATTATCTTTGTTAGAATGACATTGTTTGGCATGTTATCCAACATTCAACCTTAGCATGCATTCTAAACACAATATTAAAACGTGTCGGTACGTGGCCTATCTAAAACCGATTTCCTCGAGCCTAGATGTAACGCCCGCTTGAGGTACGTAACTCCTATTTGCTCAATTTGCCCTTAAAGTTGTTTTTATGCCCTTAGTTAAGTGTGTATGTGTTGAAATTGCTTGAATGCCTTGAAATTGGTGAAGTCTGGTTGACATTTGTGAAAGGCAGACTTCGCCGCGGCGAAGAAGTCTCGTCGCCGTGGCGACTTATGCTCTGGATTTCTTCGCCGGGGCGAAGAAACTTGGTTCGTCGCGGCGAAGAACCGGCTGAGATTTTTGTTAAGTTTCTAGAGAATTCTTCCTTTGGGGCACAATGACTATTCTACCCCTAATTAGCAGGAAAAGTGGGGAGTGAAATGTAAGGCAATTTCATGGAGAATATGTTAGAGTGGGGGTGTGATTGTAATGATTGAAAGGACAAGGATGGGATTTCCAAGGAAGAGCAAGGGCAATATGGGAATGAATGTAGATATTTTGAGCTAAAAAGGGATTAAGATTAGTAAACCCTTCATTCTTCTTCTTCCACTGCCATTCTCATTCCCCATGTTCTCTCAACCTTCCACTCAATTTTCCAAGAATTTCTAAGGATTTTTGAAGGGCTTTTGAGTAGTTTTTGATAGAGAGTTAATCTAAAGCATCCTAAGGTAAAGATTCATGCTTTAGATATGAAATTTGATTATGGATGTGTTGAAATCTTATGGTATTATTGTTTAAAGTTGTAGAGAAAGGACAAGCTACCAAAGGGAAAGAGAAGTGCTAGTGAAGCCATTTTCGAATTAAGTTTGGAGAAGAAATGAACAATTAAGTGTATAGTGTCTGAAGAAAGTTAAATGGGTGATTGATGTCAGAGCAATATTTATAGGAGAATAGGATACGAAAAGGTGGAATATTAGCAGATAATTGGTACTAAATAAACGTGTCGATCGAAAAAGTGTTAATAATTATTTGCATAAGGTAATACGAAATGTTAGTAGACTATCCGTACAATATTAAAGAAAACCGTAATAAATATTTTGTTAAGTATGCAACATATTTGTTAGGTAGTTAATAATGGTTCGGCAAGATGTTGAGTTATTATGATAAACAAACAATGTGATCTAAGTCAGAGATTATATGATGAGGTCACAATATATTTATTAATTTTTTAATTGTGGTTCGGTAATATGGTTATAAAACATGCATATAGTTCGACTTTGATCTTGTTCAATCAATAATGGTACAAAAGTTTTTTTAAATGTGTAATAGAAATGGTTATTTCTAGTTTTCTTTTAATTAAGATTATAATATATTTAGATTGATGTTTGTTATTAATAGGAGTCAGTATTGTTATCTAAATCTGGTTTTGAGAATACCAAAGGTTCTTTGGGAAAACAAATAAATGTCTAGGAATAAGTAAACACGTTGATCGAAGACATGTTAATAAGTTATTGTATAAGAGGATACGAAACGATAACAAACATAATAATTATTTTGTTAAGTATTCAAGTCAGAAATGTGATGATGATATTATAATATATCGTTTGTATAGTGAATAATGGTTCGCCGGTCGTGCTTCAAATGGATGTTATCATTCAGTNTTAGTGGTTTATATATTTTTTGTGTAGATATTGGATAGCAAACAATTTTCTGTGTGTTTGGATTTGATAGATATTATCGTGCTAATTATTAATGAGAAATAGAGTTGTTATTTCTTAATCTCGTTTTTAGTATTTTTCTAAATTAATGATGGTATTTTTATTTTGTTGAACATTAATTATTTGATTTTGTTATATATATCAGATATCGTTGCTTCATTGTTTATTCTACTGAGAAAAGTTTATTATTCTATTCAATGAATATAAACTTTTTTGTTCATAATCATTATCATTTAATGTTAAGTATTAATTTATCTTAAGTGTAAACGGTTTGCATTCATCTATATCTCTACGTAGGTATAATAAGTATTTGATACATTCGATTAATACGAATCTTTTTAAATTCATATAAATTAATGTATTAGATGATATTTTGTGCATTGTACATGAATTATGTGCATATCTTATGTAGGTGTCTGATGCTCTGGAAGTTCTATGAGATAATTGGGCAACTGGTCAAATGAAAGAGGGTGCCTTTGCTGTAAGAAGATGGGAGGATCTGGACACTGACTTATTGGTGAAAATCTCCCTGTGTTTTGATGTTTTCCAGTTGACTTTAGGCATTGCTCACGTTTGTAATTCATGGCATTCAGCTTGTTGTGATCCTCTGCTTTGGAAAACTCTTGATTTGTCAATGTTGATATCAAATTTTATCAAAATCCCATTAGAGCCACATGTTTACGTGGATGAGTGTTCTGATAAGGCATTGACTCATTTGTTTAATTTCATTGAGTCTCAACCAGGGACAAATAAGAACCTTGATTTTTCACTTCAATTTGTATGCGGGGGATGAACAATTTACTTATATTGCTGAAAGGTAATTTTTTTATGTTTCCATTTAAAACCTTGTTGAAAGTTAATTTTGTTTTTTTTATTCTCGCTGTTTATTGACTGAGTCTTTGGCATTGCCTTTGGTACCAGTGATCATCACCTTTAATTTTCTTTTTGGTACAGTGAATTTGGAAGTAACACACCATATATTGTTGTCTGCAGGTGCCCCCATCTGAGGCGAGCTGTTATGCCAACTTGGAACAGAATAAAGAATGATGTAATTTTCAAGGCCATTCGTACATGGAGATATCTTGAATCCCTGACAATGCCTAGTATGGTAAATCCGCCTTATCTTGAAGAGGCAATAGCCCTAAATTGCAAGAACTTTAGTGAACTCAAGGTCATGGGTCCTTTTGATGTTCTCTTTGCTTCCACGGTAGTCAAATTTCTTGCAAATTTGAAGGTTTTGAGCTTGAGATGCTTAGTGATAGTGAAGGATGCCCTATTTCTTATATTGGATAACCTGCCAAATCTGGAAGTCCTCAACATATCACATAGTCTTTTTATAGAAGGTTCACTTCTTCCTCTACTGATGCTCGAAAAAATCATTAAGAAGCTCGATAAAATTATCTTAGAGAAGGCTGCTCGATTACATGAGTTCTTAACATGTACTGAGCACTCATGCATCATGTGCCATTGTACTCGAAGTGATGAAGGCTTTATGAGGTGGTACAAGTATGAGGAAGGTCTATGGAAAATGGATGAGACGAGGTCTCTTGCTCTTTGATTAGGACACTGTAAAGACTGTAATTTTAACATTTTGTTTTGCTTCTATGTAATATATAGATAATATGTTGTTGAATAAGCATATATAGAATTGGTCTGTTGTGTTTTAGGTTGTCATCCTCCTAATGCTTTCGTTTTAGGTCGTCAACACTGTAATACTTGCATGATGATTTTCTCCCATGGGAAAAGTATTATCTGTCTACATAATTATGTACATATGTTAAAATTTTACTTTCTGCTGTTTCAAATTGATCTTTTGTTGTTCATTAATGTTATTTCAAAATGAAGTGGTTTCAAACTAATACGCAATTGAGTATTTTACTTATTTCAATGCATGTTATTTATTTTGTAATTGTTATTGTGAAATTCATTTCTATTGTCAGGTTTAGTATTTGATAGTGAGATTTTGAAGGAATCTTTGAGTTTCGCTTCTTTTATACTTTGATGATAAGTTATAGTGACATTGTTCAGCTGAAGTGGTAATATTAAAGTTTTACTGTGTGCTATTGCTTTGCCTTTTTAAAATTCATAAATGATGAAAAACGTTGTCGTTTAAAATGTTGTTGAAAATTAAAGAAAACATTGCGGATTTAATATACAGTATTTTACTTGAAGTAAATTTGGGGATTTAGGGTTTTCTCTATCAGTTTCAGCTTTAAAGGCATTTGTCCCAGTCTGTTTCTCGTGTTTTCCATGTGCGTCTTTTCTCGTTGACTGAAGTTGAGATAAGTAAAGTAAATTTTCTTCAGTTACAGTGACAATGTCGTTTTTTATTTACATTGGTCTAATTAATTTGTCATTGATTTTAACTTTGATTAAAGTGCATGTTATTGTTACGGAGTTCTGAGATTTGTTATTATTGTTATAAGAAGTTGTTGTTAGATGGTTGTGCTAATAATTTGTTATGGTCAGGTTGTTTATTGGTTTCTCTGGTAGTCGTGTTGCATATTACTTTCTCAATAGGTTTACCACTGAAATTGGTGTCCTTCTTACTACAATTTTGTTTGTTTAGGTCAGGTTGTTTATTTGTTGTCCTGGTAGTCACATTGCACACTATTTTCTCGGTAAATCTACTGCTGGAATTGGTGTTTTTCTCATTACGATTTTGTTTATTATCTTGTTGTATTTAGTTTATATAGTAATACTATCATTGATTTATGAATTGATGTTAAGAAATGCCAGAGGTACAAATGCCTCAGAAGTTACCATCATTGTTATCATGTAATTATCTACTTATTTTTTGGGAATAGTTGTCAAGGTTTTGGTATTCTCTATAGCACGTCTGAGATATTGTTGTTTTAATTTGTGTCTCTATCACATATCAGGAAGAATAAATGTCTTCCAAGTAATAACAAAGATTTACAATTTCTATTAAGTTGAATGATTGTCTGTTTTTTCTATTTTTATTTATTTGATGATATTATTCTTTCATTGTAGTAATGGCTCCCAAAAACTTGATGAAATTTATTCGAAGACTTGATTCCGAAGTTTTGTATAAAGGAGGATCAAGTAGTGATTCCAAGTCAGAATTGTTAACGCCTTTACAGACTTCTGTTTTACCTGCTTCAGCCTCCAATTCTGTGAAACCTAATTCTGGTTCCTGCCATGTTAAATTGATTGAAGAAGAAGATAATTAGTCAGAAGAAATTCCATTACTTAGATTGGTGAAACGGTAGAAAAGCTGTCAGCAAGAGGGTTCAAATACGAATTCTGAACGAAAATGGAAATTTTTTTCTAAAGAAGAGCTAGACAACAAAACATTCGGCCTAAGGAAAGGGGTAACATTTTTTCAGTTTATCATGTGAATATATAGTTTATTTGGCACGTCAATATTAACGTGGTTTCATTGTTTTTTAAATAGGCTTATGTAGGTTTCTTAGAAATCAGAGAACATTGGCTTGTTTCAGAAGATGCGATCTCGGATTTGAAAAAAGAAAATGAACATGTGATTTTCAAGGTTCGCAAATTGGAAGAACAGTTGAAAATATCAAAGGAGGTGTTTGATAAGGTCAAAACCGAATTGAAACACTGTCAAGAATCATTTAGAAATGTTGAACAGCATTTTGCAAATGAGCGGTAGCAAAAGGAAGTCTTTAACAAGAAAAGTAATGAATTGTCTGAAGAAAATGATAAAATCAAATATTTAATTGCACAAGCTGAGAAAATTAAGAAAAGGCTTATGATTCGGTGTCAGAAATGTTTTTGGCCACCAAAAAAACTTGTGTCAAAGAATTCAAGAACAGATTTCCAAATGAAGATTATAGTTTTTTAGAGACAATTGTGTTGAAAAATGAGAAGATACTGGCTAATAGAGATTATATTGACTGCAATGTTGTTGTAACTTTCTCTGGTCCACTTAATGCCGCTTCTGTAAATTTTTAAATCGCTTGTTAAATATTTTGATAATATTTTGACAGTATTTGCTAATATTTTGACAATATTTGCCACGCAAGTTTTTATAGTTGTGTTATTATTACAGATGTGGAAGCATTCAGTTGATATTAATTTTTGTGTATACGAAAAAAAGTCTCCAGCCCATGTAATGTTGCTTTTGTACGTATTTAAAGTGTTTAATAGTACTATTGATGTTAAATATCTTGATGATGTCTATCGTGCAAGAGTTTGTGGTTGAGTTGCATATGTAAAAAATATGCATTTATAATACATAATACATATAATGTAGCATTCATTGTAGTTGACAATAATAATATAGAACCTTTAAATATCTTTGTATCAAGGAATTTTTTGTTTCTATATATATTTGAACATTTAATGTGACCTTTTCATATTCATATAAATATCTTCAATTTTGCACATTAATCTCTCATAAACAATGTCTTATATTATATACAATGTATCAATCCTTTTTGTTACAAAGAATGCTTTTTATTATATATAACATTTCAATCCTTTTAATTAAACACTTCTTTGAAAACAATGTTTGTCAATGTTTCTGCCGGTTCATCTTGTTGCAGGGGTAGCAGAATCTTAATACCTTGTCTTGAGGTTACTCTTGATATTGCGACTTATAATTGACCATGTGTAAAGACTTGATGTTTCATAAACAATCCTATTGTTTAGAGTGATTGACTCTGGCTTTTGTTTATTGTCATACAAAAGCTAACTGTCACAGGTAACTGTCTTCTCTTCAACCTGAAAGGCCACTTCATATCTGCATTCGTCATTATTATTCTGGGAATTGTAACAATATCCCCAATATTTGACCCAGTAATAATCACCGCTTGTATGGACCACTTTCCTAAATGGGTTATAATCAGTCTGGTTCAATTGCAAAGACCATTAGATTGATTCAAATTATGTAGCAACATAATTGGAATGTCAATCTTCAGATGCAATTCATGTTTTGGCATGCCATAGCACATCAAAGAGTTAAGAAAGTCGGTCGGATAGAGAATGTCATCATCGTTTGAGATAAGATTATGACTGTGAAATTAAGTATCAACCTGGGAAAGCCAATATAGTAGCCGATGCCTTGAGTAGAAAAGCTTACTTGTCCCGACTTACAAGGCAAAAAGAATTAATAGAAGAATTGTGCAAAGAACAGATTGAGGTCATACTAGGAAAGATTGCCAAGTTAGAGATTCAGTCTACATTATTGGAAGAAATCAGAGGAAAGCAAGTTGCCGATGAGTGGTGTCAGAAAATAAGTCAAAAAGTGCTTGAGAGTAAGAAACCAGAGTTCCATCTGTTAGATGGTGTCCTCCGTTTCAGGAGTCATTTGTGCATTCCTCAAGATGATGAGTTAAAGAAGAGAATTCTTACGGAGGCTCATGACACACCATACACTGCTCATCCTGGAGCAACCAAGATGTATCAAGACTTAAAGAAAGGCTATTGGTGGCCAGGTATGAAGAAGGATATTGGAGATTTTGTAGCTAAGTGCCTGTTTTGTCAACAAGTGAAAGCAGAACACCAAAGGCCATCAGGGTTGCTTCAGCCACTTAGTATTCCTGAATGGAAATGGGAGAGTATTTTGATGGATTTTATTATAGGTCTCCCTAGAGTGCAGAAAGGGTTTAATGCTATATGGGTGATAGTAGATAGATTGACCAAGTCAGCCCATTTTCTTCCAGTAAAGGAGAGCACTACTTCGGATCAATTGGCCCATATTTACATTAAAGAGATAATGAGACTACATGGAGTACCCAAGACAATAGTATCAAATAGAGATTCCAGATTTGTCTCAGCTTTCTGGACTAGTTTACAGAGGAACTTGGGTACCAGATTGGCTTTTAGTACCGCTTACCATCCTTAAAAAAATGGCCAGACAAAGAGAACAAATCAGATACTTGAGGATATGTTGAGGGCTTGTTGCATGGATTACAGAATGTCCTTGCATGCGATGTTACCCTTGGTGGAGTTTGCTTATAATAATAGCTATCAGTCTACAATTAAGATGGCTCTTTACGAGGCCTTGTATGGTAGACGTTGTAGATCTCTACTACATTGGGATGAGATAGGCGAGAAAGATGAGTTGAATACAACTCTTGGGCCAGAACTAACTCATAAAATGATCGAAGATGTCAAGTTACTCAAAAGTAGAATGAAACAAGCCCAAGACAGGCAAAAAAGCTATGCAAACTTGAAGAGGAACGATGTTGAATTCGAAGTGGGTGATAAAGTGTTTCTAAGAGTTGCCCCCTACAAACGGGCGATACGTTTCGGTAGCAAGGGAAGGTTAGCACCGAGATACATTGGTCCCTTTGAAGTATTACAGCAAGTGGGAAAGGTAGCCTATAGGTTGGCCTTACCACCCAGCATGGACAGAGTACACAATGTATTTCATGTCTCAATGCTTCGGAATTATGTAAGTGATCCCTCCCATATATTAAGTGTAGAAGATGTGGACTTAGAAGAAAATCTTGTGTATGAGGAGCATCCAGTTTAGATATTGGCCAGACAGATTAAAGAGTTTTGAAACAAGAGTATCCCTTTAGTGAAAGTCCTCTGGAGAAATCATAAAGTTGAAGAAGCTACATGGGAGGTGGAGCAAGACATGCAGAACCGTCACCCGGAGTTGTTTGTTTGAATTTCGGGGATGAAATTCTTATAAGAGGGGGAGAATTGTGACGCCCACATGGAGGTACGTAATTTAATTTATGCTCTTATACCTTTAGTTGATTTTTGCTAACGTTATTTTGAGAAAATGTGAAGAAAATGCCTTATACTTGCATTAAGGGTAAAATGGTCTTTTCACTCAAAATTAGTTGAAATTGTAGGGAGTGAAAAGAGATAGAATTTCATGGAGAATACAATAAAAATGAGGGCATTATGGTAATTGACTAAGGGACATAGATAGAATTTTAAAGAAAGTGCAAGGGCAAAATGGGAAACTATATATATAATTTTTATGTTATATCAAATTAAAGAGTGAAACCCTAGCCACTCTTACCCATTTGCATGCCACTTTCACCTCCATATTCTCTCAAATTCTTCAATTCTTCTTCAAAGGAAATTCATAGGTTTTGGGTGTTTTTGAGTGGATTTTCAATCTTAAGCTTCTATAGGTAAGATCCTTGCACTAAGAAGTGAATTTTAGTTTTTAAAGTGTTGAGTTTGATGGTTTATGCTCATAGGATTTAAAAGGAAGAGAGTTTGATCAAAGGAGAGTCTTACAGGGTTGAATTTGCTCAAATTAAAGGTAAATAAATCCTACCCTAAGTATGATTTAAGTTATGTTGTGTAGAGAACTTCCTTTATGCATATATATATATATGTGTTATATGTAAAATTGTTGATGGATTTGGTGTTGAATAATGATTAGAACCTATCCATGAGAAGTTGTGTTGGTGTAGTTGTTATTTGATGAATGTTTGGATGAGATTTGGAAGAATTGAAGTGAAAATTTTGAAGTGTGTATTTTGGGCAGATTTGGTGTTAATTATGGAGGAGTTTATTCCAAATTTTTGGTGGCCTAAAATAGAGATAAAAGTGTAGCCAAATTAGTGTTGATTTGTGCACATGAATTGTTTGATGAAATGCCAAGGAGAAGTGCATGTATGAGTATGATTATGTGTTACCTTGGGATGAGTTTGTAGATGGTAGAGAATGACATGTTTGCATTCCATAATGCATAATTGCATTTAAATATGTGAAGTTAGATAGAATTATAAGCATGAAACCATCTACATGCATACATATTCATAAGAGCATGAAAATGCCCTAAAATATGTTAAAGAGAAAATAGAAAGAAATGAGAATATTAAAGATATTCAAATCTGAATTTTTCTTAAAGAAGTGTAAAAAAGGATAAAAAGAAGAGAAGGTTGTTGCGATGGGGAGCGGTGAGTGACATAGTCCCACATGCACGCCGCCTTTAGTGAGCGGCCTCAGAATTCAGAAAGAAGAAATGTACAGTCCGTTAGAAGTGTGTGTGGATGAGGACTGTACCCAGAATTAGAGAATTCACTCACAGGGCCAAGGCTCCAAATCCATGCCTCAACCGAGTCTGATAGGCAAGAATAGAAAGAAAGAATAGAAAGAAAGAATAGAAAAGAAAGAAAGAATAGAAAAGAAAGAAAGAATAGAAAGAAAGAATAGAAAGAAGGACTAGAAAAGAAAGAAAGAATAGAAAGAAGGACTAGAAAAGAAAGAAAGAAATAAAGAAACAGAATAAGAATAAGAATAAGAATAAGAATAAGAAAAATAGAAAAGAAAATGCATAATTTATGCATTTGTGCATTTGCATCATGAATATGCATAATCCCATGCTAATTATCATGGGTAGTGAAAAAAAAATTAGAAAACAGAGAGCAAAACAGAGAAAGAATAGAGAAAGAACAGAGAAAGAATAGAGAATACTTGGGAAATGAGTTGTAAGGAAAGAAAATTCAGGATTTAAGCAACGGAGAGAGAAGGGTAGCATAGCGGGTTTACTTACTGAGCCATTAGTGCTCACTCCGTTGTTTATAATGTTTTGCAGGTAATAGGTGAGTTGCGGTCGCTCGGAACGTCACACGGTGGAAGGGTTGGGCTACACTGTCAAGTTACTATTTTTGAGAACATTTTGTAAATATTTGTGTATAAAGAAAAATTAAATATAGGCCCATACTTTATTAC